TGTGTGTGCATGCATCTGCATACGGGTTTACGTATGCTTATACGGGTCTAAGGTGATAGTGGGGATTAGTCACTCCAGAACAACACACACGTGAGGAAGTTCTGCAGTAATTTCTGAGTTTCGTGTGCTCAGGTAAGCCCTGCACTCAGCAGCAGGATCTTGAAGCAGTAGTCTGTCTTGCTCTACATCCGACTATAACATGCTTGACACGAAGCGAGAGGCAGGTGAAAGAAAAGCCTCCCATCACCTTTGGAGGTGGGGGAGAGGGAGTTACAACCTGAGGAGTGCTGAGCACACTAACATCTCTTCTGTCCTTTGGGGGCTGCCAGTGTGCATCGAGGTGATTGAATACATATTCCACCTCCAGCTTGCAACAAAAGGGCACACCAGTTACCCATTCAAGCTATCATCGTCTGGTGTTATCTTCCAGCCTGTGCGACTGTGAGGTGTATGACTGCAGAGGTGCACCCGTGGGGTGTGTGTGCCTTCCTCCCGTGCTCTGAAGAGCCTCAGCTCCAAAGGACTCAGGTAATGTAACTGGTGACAGTACCTATGGAGCTCTTGTGGCAGTCTCCGAGGGCAGGAGTGATGAAAAAATGGTACTTGTTTTGACTGGCGTAGTTATAGTGGGGTGTGGGCACGTGGGATGAAAACTTCAGTCCCCCCGTGCTCCCCAGCTGGAGAACCTGTGAGAGCTGTATGGTCTGTGCGAGCTCTAGGCCGTTGGCTTGTACACACCGAGGGCTAATAAGGACTGCTCATGCTGGGCTTTTTGATCACGTTTATGGTTGATACCACAGTAGCATCAAGTCACCGTGTATCTTGGTCTCGGGCCGAGTCGACCCAAAGGTGAAAGTCCTTTTCTTGCCCTAGGTTCATTCTGTAGGTGCTTCGTATCTGACATTTTTAAGACATGCAATCAGATTATATTGAGAATTACAGGAAAATCCTGAAATAGCGAAGGGTAAAATAAAACTACAAACAAATGTGAAGCGTGCATATCGTTCTTGGGTAACTAAGTAGTCTGGATGTTACTTGCATCATGGCAGGAGAGGGAGTCCCCTTTATCCCTCTCATTTATTCTACTGTGTTTCAACTCCTGAAAATATTTTTCCAAAAAATAAGCTATTTTCTTTCAAGTGCTTCAGATTCAGCTGTAGCCTCTATATGCCTCTAACCCCCACTCTCGAAGACAAATGAGGGTGTCTTGGTTTGGAAAGACAGGTGTCTGTGG